GTTTGTTCAAACAACTCAGGCTCTAATTAGGGAAAATACTTGAATTTTTTGTATCTGCAGGATATAACACTTAGAAATGTTAAATCTTTTTCTTACCTGGTGTACATTTTCCCGTTGTTGTTTTTCTCCAACTTAATTTATTTTTAACTGTCTACAAGAAAATAATAGTGAGGTGTAATTAATTACTGGCATCACTTTTTTTAAAGACACACTTCCCTCTGAGTTAAATTAGGGGTTTTAAAGTGTGCTTCATTTTTTGATTAATTATAAATTTTAGTGATTTTTTTTATAAATTTTAGCCAGCCGTGGCCATATTTCATTACTGACAACATTATCTTTAACTTATTCATAAAAGCATCGAAATGTTCTTCTCCCTGCTCGCTTTTGCTATTTTTGAAATGTTACATATAATAAATTTTATAATAAAGCAAGACCATGGCTCCAGTCTTTATTTACGTCTAGATTTCCTGTTAAACTTTTAAACTAAAATAATCCAGCTTCTTTCCATCATCAGCAGTCTTTTATTTCACTTTACAAAAACTGTTGCCACACATAAAAATGAAATATCAAACATCACACATGTGACAAGTGGATCGTATGTGACATCACAACACAGACAAAAAGGACTTTTTGGGAACCACTTTTTGTACAAGGAAGATAGATGTATTTACACATGTACACACAAAATCACATTATTTGACATATTTACAACAGTTACACAACTTTTAATTGTCACAAATGGCAACGGCACAATAACAGAGCATTCTCAGACATCAGATGTTCAGAGTGAACAAACAGGAAATGTTTTTCCTTTTATTTATTTTTTTTCTTGGAATGAAATAAATTTTATAAAGCTTCAATTGTAACAGTAGAGCCCATATAGGAGAACTGCATGTATATCAAAACCAGTGCAGTAAAATGCATTGGTCTTTATTATATTTACTTTGTTTTAACCTAAAATCTGTAGGTGTTGGGTCCTTTATATACTCTCATTTTATAATTTCTAAAAGGAAAAAAAATATATAGGATCTCTAAAAATTGGTGAAAATATAGAATTTTAAAGAAGATTTTATTCTTTGATTGAACCTCCACATGGTGCGTCTACATATTCTGACTGGCAGTTGAACAAGAAACTTCTTACTGTACATGATATTGAATAACAGCTAACAACCATGCAAGCTCTTGGATCAGAATGGACGTGAATTCGGCAATTTCAATGCATAATTGTCCTTTCATTTAAAGCAACAGTCAACATCAACACTTGATAGCAGCTGGGAAGCATTACAGGCATGTTGGCGGACTCATTGGCTTTTTTATGGGTGTAAAATAGCTTTTTTTAATTCTATTTTCTCAACCTGAAAGAAAATACAAACTAAATCTGAAATCTCCATAAAACATGCTGTGGGTGTTTGTGGATCTAAGACAGTGAATTCTTATAATGTTGAAGATACCCAGCTCCACCATCACCTCAAAATGTTTTAGAATGAAACAACCAGAGAGCAAGTCCCAAGGTGATGCCCTCTAAAATTTCCGGTTTGGTCATAAAATAGCTTTTCCTCTCATGCCAAAGGAGGGAGGCACTTAATAGATAATCACCATAATCATGTTGCTCTAAGACTTAATTTACATATTCATTGTCCCCAGAGGATTAGACCTAACAGAAAAAAAGAAAAATTATGGTGAATTTACACGGAAATGACACCAAAAGCAATGGATACATTAAAATAGTGGACATTTTCCATTAAAATGCTGTGAATTTTTTATGTAATTATATGTAATTGTAAGTCTAAGTGCTCGGGTCTAAGTGCCATCTTCAGTGTAACTAATGACCTCGCTGTAAAGCGTGCTGTGGATATTCATGTTCCCCAGAGGATGTCTCAGTTAAACTTTGATTGTGATGATTGCATTACCCCCTATCACAGTGCCATCACTTTTTCTGCACTGTACAAAATGAACTAGTACAAACCAATTTAATGGAGAGCTTGCTATGAAAATGTCCCCATTCCTGCTCACCAGAGGAGGTATCTTTACATTTTTCTTTATAAATGATCCAGTTTGTCTTTTTGTGACCCTTTAGGCCAAATTATAACTTTTGAAAAGATTGGTGTGAAACTTCCTGTGGATATTCATGGTCCCCAGTGGACAATGTGATTACAGCACATTCTTAAAACTATCATCAGCCCAAACTTTCTGCTTGCTAGCTTGTTCTTGTCCTCTAAGCACCCCAACAGCTACATCATGATTTTGAACACAAACAAAACAAACTGTTGGCCAGATTGATGTAAAATTAGTGGGGGTGGGGTGGAGGGGGGGGTCCTCTGCATTCATTCTGTGATTGTTTTTAGTTAAAGTACAGTATAGGAACACTACACTATATGAACAAATGTACTGGACCACACCTCTTAATCTTTAAATAGAGGTGTTTTCAGTCCTATTGCCACAAGCTTATCACATCAAGCATCTAGCCATGCGGTCTGCCTTTGTAAACATTTGTGAAAGAATGGGTCACTTTAAAGAGCCCAATGAATTTGGACACAGTACAGTGATAGGATCCACAGTTGCAACAAGGTATTTCATGAAATTTCTCCCTCCTAGAAATTATATGATCAGCTGCAAGTGGTGCGGCTCCTGTAAGTGTGGTGTGTAGGTGTCCCGTCACTTTTGTTCATATAGTTTTACTTGTCTTCATATTTCTGTGTTTCTCTGTAGTAGACTGACTGACAGTCACTTTAAACAAACTGGACCCTGGACTAATCTCTTGGGCTTCTTGGTCTATGTTCAGTAATCTGTCCACAATTCTGGGGAAAGTTAACAAAATGTTTAGGTCTCTAGGCCCAGTCTCTTATTTGGAATGCCTTTTGAATTTCTCCTAGCTCTTTGGGATTGGTTGGATCCCAGTACAAAAAAATAAGCATTGCCTTCTTCTGTGGTCAAAAACAAAGCAAAACAAAAAATATAACAGATTTGTGTCAGATATGCATAAAGTCATAGCCCAGTCTATAAAAAGGTAAGAGGAAGCTGATGCTTCATGACTTGCAAAACATGAATGGATGGAGAGCAGATGGATTGATGAAAGCCCAGGAAATGGAGAAACATACAGTAGATGGATGTCTGCAGGAAGAATGAGAGAGAGATGAGATAGATGACAGCAGCTGAAACTAATCGTCCGGCTCCAGAACTAAATCATTTTTGCCCTCAGACCCAAATGTCCACTCAGATCTGACAGTGGAGGTAGGTGAATGCTTTTTCAGTCTGACACTTTCCGTTCATTTTCCTTCTGCTCAATCCATATGGATACTCTGCCCACCATTATATAAACAGCTCTGAGCTACACATGCAACACAGATTTGATCATGTCTGTTTTTAAAGGTCGTTTTGGAAAGCTAATCGTGATTCTGAAACTCTTTGTTGTCAAAGTGCTTATCAATCATGAGAAGGAACACGTTTCCCTTTGTTTGGTGGAAACATGAATACGTCTTTATGTATTTTCTAAAGTGAAAACAAAAGTGTAAACATATATGTGAGTTTATTACTGAAGAGCTGCACACATTTTGCATGTGACACCTTTAGTGCCACATGCCTCCAACATTTCCTTTTAAGGATGAACATTGTTCTTTAACAATTTAATTGTTATGTCCTTTCCTGTTTGTGTCTCATGACGTCCCTGTGGTCTTTAGTAACAGCACAATGTGGTCTTTGGTGACCAAGAGTACAGACAAAATTAAAAGATTTTTAAAGAGTTATTGTTATTCTTACTCATAAGACAGCATGTTACAGGTACTTGAAACGTGCACAAAGAAATGTCAGAAATCAATCATCAGTGAGCTTTTTAACACTTTAGCACTAAAGATATGTTATGCTTGCAAGCCTTGCATAGAGATGACTACACTGTAGTGGGTCTGGTAAAGCTGATACAACAGACATCCATGGGTCTGTAGTAGAGTTTTCTCAGGTGCTCCATATTAACATCTGCAGCAGATGATATAGCTTATGCCTCTTATTTATTACCTTATGTTCTTGTTACAGAGTAAAGCTGATGTTCATAAATTAATTGGAAACATTTGATTAATTGCCCAGAAGATAATCTGAAAATTACTTTGGACAAACATCTACACAGATGCCTTTAATCACGTCAGCAAAATCAATCTCCTGTGGTGCTTTAAAAGTGTTTTTAATTATTTTTTAGCAATTTGAAGAAGACTTTGAGGAGACTGTTCCTGTTTTGTGGAACTTACACCAATTTCACAGTTGATTGAATTAAAGTGTTTGAGTGATTTAGCATCTTTTTGAAAGAAGAAGGGATTTTACTACAATTACTGCCTTTCAATTGTAGAAGACAACTATAAAAAAAATACTTGCAAAATTAAAAACGTGCAATTCATCACCTTTCACAATGGCTTAATTTTTTAAGTCATTTTATCATTTAAAATGAGCAAGAAAGTTGCATTAATCAAGAAGTGGCTGAAAAAAATAATTTCAGAAAATTCCTCAGATTTATTTATTTATTTGTTGTTCAAATGTCTGAAATGGGCATCCTTCCTTCTGACAAGCAGGGGGCGACTCCTTGAGTTTCAATGAGGCTTCTGGTTGTACAGAACTCAGTGGAACAAAGAAGCTTCACCTCTCTTAATTCAGGATCTCAATAAACACTTTCTTTGAACGTCTATTGTCTCATTATCGAGTAACACTACTTATGTAATGCAACATAATGCTAACTTTGTAAACTGTGCTAATTATTACTGCTGAGGCGCAAGTAAAACAATTGGGTTTTTTTTAAAGAAACAAATAAAAACTTAATACACAGTGACATCAATAACTAATGTCACTGTGTCTTGAAGGTGTTTTAATACAGAATTTATGGTAAAGTATAACTCATAACTTCTGAATTTTAGCTGGTATGACTGTTCTTAATTTAAAATAGGGTGTCTGATGGAGAACAATTACTATTATTGATCATTTCTATGGATCACTTATATCTATTTTCAACCTAATGAGCTTGTGCACAGGCATTTCCACCAAAAAAAGTGGTACTTGTGACCAAAAGTGGGCACCATCTCTACACCACGAAATTTCTCACCCCAAAGATGGACATCTGTCATTATGAAGGAGCTACCACATAAAGTTATTTCCATGATAAGTACTCGAGTTTCTGCCAGTAACTTTACAGATAACCAGTGGGCTGATTCTTAAAAGGCACCAAGGTAGAACAGAGCAGAACTGGCACCATATTACTGGAAATAAGATATTAGTGGTCCTTATATAAATAGTATTGTGATGTGATCTTTGTTTTGTTGAGGAAATTAATTAGAAGAGGTCAGATTTTTGGTAAAATATGTTTTTTTTCAGGGCCCTACTTTCCTTTATTCTTGAAAATTTCCTTACAAGCTAGCACCAGCAACCCCAAGGACAGCTTCACACTGATGATTCTTGTGAAATTGTCTCAGTTTGTGATGGAAAAAAAGCATGCCACAACTTTTTGAAGGACTTTGAATTAACTGGCATATTCCACGTTAGCATGGAGCTTTGGTATCAGGACTCTACTATCAGCACAAGCATAATGTCACTGTCAAATCTTTTAAAACTGAATGGCAAAAACAACCAAAAAATTCTTTCCTTGAAGGGAAGCTGCTCTGTGAATACATCCCTCACGACTCCAGACCACCAGGAGAGAATGACAATGTGTCTTAGTCGTCCATGTCCTGCTGGGGCCAGTCCACTCTGGTTGTTTATCAGTCACTGGGGTCCTGGCAGTGGGAGCAGTAGCTCATGTCTTCAGAGTAGAGCTCTACCTGGATGGTGATGCTGTAGAAACCAAACTTGGTATGGAGTAGGTCAGTGGCCTCCTGCAGCACAGACTGCTGATCAGTGCCCTCCTCTGGTGGTGAAACAAGAAGGTAAAAATCAACAGAGCGAGTGTGGTTTACTCTACTGTGGTCTGTTAGGGGTGTAACACAGAAATCCACAATTTCGTATCACAGTTTTCTCTTCCCATATCGGAATATGCTCATCAGCCATGTGGAGCTTTTAATGTCTGGTTAAAGTAGCCTAATGACAATGCACAGTTTATTTTTTCTAATTATGACCAAATGATCGTGCTCTTTTATAAAGTCCCACTCCCAGCTTCTTAGTTATTTATACTGATTTCCTCTTTATCAGCTTTTATTGAATTCTTCTGCTCTGTCTTTTTCTCTCTTTAATTTTGAACCCTGCTGACCTGGAAAGTTTGTGGAACTGTATTCTTAGACTTTTTTTTTTTTTTAATTCCCTGTGCATCTCACTGTACTATGCACTGTACGAGTCTGTAGATCAGTGTGTTACTTTACCTACGGCCAGGTGAACAGAAACCAGCGCCTGGCCCAGAGTCAGAGCCCAGAGGTGCAGGCAGTGCATGGACTTCACAGCTTTCACAGACAGCAGCACCTCCTTCACCGAGTTAAACTCGATTCCTTTAGGGGACCCTGAAAAACAACGGGCCATCAAAATTAAGACACACCAAGTTAACAGTACGTCTGTGAATGTGTGGCTCACATGCAAACAGTTTGCTTCAGATGGCTTACACAGAGACTTTGTCTAGCTGATTTTGGCCTGGTATACAGAACAATATTATTCCTCGATAAGCACACAGTAATATATTTTATTTTACTGATCTACAGGTTGAAAAGAAGTCAAATTTGACTAAAATCATGACTAGTTATACAGTAGTTAATTAAACTAGTCACTAAAACTATAGAGACAATGTGCAGGAGGCATTCCTGAACATGAGACTAAGGTAGTTGCATGACTGCCTTCAAAATTTGTTTTGTGTACTACAATATCTATTCTGAAGATCATAAATCTGGGAAATATTTCTACATTAAGATTATAAAAACACTAAAACTAACAGTGAAAGTAATAAAAATAGGCTAAAATTGGACATTTCAAACTATATAAACAGACAAACCTAAAAGGGAAACAAACTGAAAGTAAATTCAACCCAAAAAGAAATATAAATGCAAACTAATCATAAATACAAGTATTAAAACTCTGATGTATGTATACAGTATTACATCAGATACATGGCTCTCATGCACGTTATCATTTTGCTCATTGACACCAAACTGAGGTGGCATCCCCAGCATGTGACCATCTGTCCTCCTGCTCTTTGTTCTGTGCTAGGAAAACCACAGACGTGTTTCTCTGCTGTTTTACACAAACATGCCATGTGGAGCTTGGGGACATACATATCTGAAGCATGAATATCATGAATACTTCAGTTAGGCTCCAAATATGTTGTTTTTTGCACTTCCGCGTGACATAACTGTCCTTTGCAACATGTGATGTTAACCTTTTTCATACCAGGTCAAAGCCTGACAGCTGGATCCTAGCTGCAGGCATCATGGTCAGAAATATCACATAAGCTTAATTTAAAGCAATATTCAACCTTTCTCAAAAGAGTTTTTTCTAATAAACAGCATAAACTGATGCAGGGTAGCTGCATGCTTGTTTCTGACCGTTGACCTAAAACAAGCTGCTGGCTTTAACAACACTGAACTTTATAGGTATTGGTAGGCTGGCTGTTTCTCCCTTTTCCAATCTCATATCAAGCTGAGACACTGAATTTACAGCTTGAAGAGTCAGGAAATAAAAATCAGATTTATGTTTGTTGGATTTTTTTGTGTTTTTTTTCTTTGGCTCGTATTCCTGTTTATCATCTACTTTTCGCGATATCTGGCACCTGGGTACCCATGAATATAGCAAAGGTAGTTTGTGGTGTTTAAGGCAACAAAAATATAATTAGACAAACTGCACAATGTATTTTTCCACCAACTGTGATAGATTTACCAAAAAAAAAAATATATAAATTAAATCAAATCCACCAATTTAGTTTTAAGCAGTTTCACTGGGAACTGTGTGGGTTTTTTTTCCTACTAAACTATATTTGCTAACCAAAAGAAGCATGTAATTGAAATTACAACAAGGGAGCTGTCATTAATCATTACATTCTGCTGTTAGCCTGAGCTTCTTGTTACGGGCAGTTGCACAGTTTCTTCTGCACAGTAAGGCCTCGATTATACTCTGCTGCAAACACAAACAGCTGGAGAAACCACGGCTGAGCAGTCATTCCTGCTATACTTCTTTAAAGTCAACCACCTGGGTTGCATCCATGTTTGGTGCATTGTAATGCAAAGACTCTGCAGCTGAGTCTTCACTCGCAGAAAAAGTAAGCAGGCATGCAAACATCTGCACAGACCCTCAACTTCACCATATGAAGGAGAAATTTAAGTCACTCTAAGCCAAGCCTAGAGAGGAGGAGACGCTATAACAGTTATATTTTTATTTTATCTTATTTTAATCTTTATTTAGATTTCAAACTGAAAGGGTGTGACAGAAGCTACAGCTTATGTAACATCTGCCCTTGATGCCACAATCAGCATGTAAGGAAAATTGTGAACTAGATTTTAAACCTCAGATTTAACACAATAAAAGAAGAAAGATAAATAATAATCATTCATGTCAAATCCAGCTACAGATGAACCCGTTGTATCTAAAGCATCTTCACATTAAACATTTATCACAGTATTGAAAAAATTATTTTTTCTGGACGATCTTTTTAAAAAGTTTCAGTGTGATGCAGGGGTTTTTTTCAGGACAACAACCTTAGGACACAAAAACTGGCCTGATTTCGTACTGGACTTATTGGATTTCATTAAATTTGTTATAATTCCATTTAAAGAACTTCTGGAGAGATTATGTTGCAATTGTAATTTTTTTGCTTTGAATCAAATCTTTGAACTTCAATGTGTTTAATTAAATTATAATAAATAAATAAATATCAAATTTATTGACGTACAACAGGGTTTGTTATCATTACATGGGTTTTTGGGTTTTTTTGAGTAACTGCATTATAATTTCTGACAAGAGTTTGTGAGTTTTTCAAATATATGTTTTTCCATTGTGAGCCCACAAAGTCAGTTCCCTCCTACACTCAAACACAGGCATTTCTACAGCTGATCTCCACAGACCAGTATGTAGATAGATCCGTGGCACAACAAGCAAGAGGAAAAACACATATGTAAATCTGGTGTGAAGTACCCCTTTTCCATAATAACAAAAATACTCCATACTTCATGGGAACTATCAGGTACAGTATATGATTACACTATTAAAATATGAAAAAGTATTTAGAACATAAGAAGCTGTTGATTGTTTAATACCTTCCATGAGTATCCTAAAGACGTCTCTGAGGATGGTGACAGTGGTGCAGAGAACAAAGACAGAAAATAGGAACGTGCAGATGGGGTCTGCTACTTTATACTCGGGCTGAAAAAAAGAAAAGAGGTTAAGGACACTTTAAAGAGCGAGAAAAAGGGCGTCAGATGGTGATTTCCACAGTCACGAGGCACTAAAGTGCTCCAGGCACAAAAACAGGAACATCTTGCAACACAACAGAAATGCTTGAATCTTTCATCCATGATACATAAGAAACCATACATGGTTTCTTTGTACACATTCAAATATAATTCTCTAATGCTCAGAATACAAATATGCATGTACCTGCATGTCTTTGTGCTTTTAATATGACTCTGTTTTATATCATGTAATACATCTGTTTATCTGACCCGGAAGTAGATGATGGTCGCCGCCACCATGACGCCGACACTCTGCAGCAGGTCACCCACCACGTGGATGAAGGCAGCACGGACACTTGTGTTACCATGACTGCCGAGGAGGGCGTGCGAGTGGCCATGAACCACGGGGCTCTGACCATCCTCGTCAATCTGGTGGTAACCGCTGCCGTGAGCGTGGAAGGTGGTCGAATGGTGGAGGATGTACGCCATGCTAGAGAAAGGAAACGAGACAAAGGGTCATCAGTTGTATTACAGCCATCTTTTAAATACTGTCTATGGTTTTTGTTAGTAAAATATTTGTAATTTTTTTTATTAATAGTAAAAGTAATAGTAATATTATGTAATGGTATCAATAGCAAAAGCATAAATGGAGAGCAAAGTTTTTACAAGCGTTAATATACTTTTAAAGGTGTGAAGCACTCACACAATATTGACGATGACAGCACAGCCAGAGGTGACCAGCATGACGTGTCCATCAATCTCATAGTCGTTACGTACGATCCTCTCAATGGCCAAATAGACCAGAGCTCCAGTGACGATCCAGATGGACATGACTGAGATGAATGCCCCGAGGATCTCTGGAAGGAGAAGAAAATCATGAACCTTTAATACTTTGTTGTAGTCATGCACTTCATCACAGATAATAAGGAGGCACATCTATTGTATGCTGCTGACCATATACATTTAAAATTAAACGGCTTCTTCTGAGCTTAAACTAAACTGACTTTACTAATACGTTGATGGCCTCAATCACCAGTTCCCTGTCTTAGACCAGGCCTCCCTCTCTACAACCACAGCTTCCAGCTCTTGTGAGGTGGGCACTAAAGTGTTCCCAAGCCAGCCGAGAGACATAATTTCTGCAGTGTATCCTGGGTCTACTCCACGTCCTCATCCCATACTATGCCAGAAACATTTCAGCTAGGAGGTGGTAGGTGTGTTACTCAGATAGCCAAACCACCTTAATTGTCTCCTTTCAAGGAGAAGCAGCAGCAGACTGACTGCAACTAGAAATCCTGTCCATAAGAATTATGAACAAAGTTGGTAACAAAGAGGAACCCTTTACCAAACTGCAGCACCACTGGACTCTTGGAGAACTCCCCACAGAAAACCAGAGAGACATGTTTAAATGCCTTCTTCACAAAACACATCAAAACTGAAAGAAGGCCACATTAGATTCTTCTCTCCTGTATCTTGGTGTAGATGTTTTCAGGCAGGCTGATGAGAGTGATCACTTGAAGTTAGAAAACAGCCTCTAGTTCTAGTTTTCTTAAAAAGTGAGACCATCAATCCAGGCTGACATTGCCTGCCCCAACTTTTACACAGGGATACACCAGTGCATGCAACCAGGATAGCCATAATACATCTAGTGACTCAAGCAAGTTTTGCCCATGTGGAGTTTACATGGACAAAATAAAAGAAACTCTACACAAAATCACTCAGGCCCAGGGACT